GGTCGCTGTTAGGGCCCCCCGGAGCCTTCTCTTCTCCAGGTGAACAACCCCAGCTCCCTCAGCCTGTCCTCACAGCAGAGCTGCTCCAGCAGCCCTCTCATCATCTTTGTAGCCTCCTCTGCTGCAGTAGATTCATATCCTTCTTGTACTGTGGGCTCCAGAACCGGATGCAATACTCCGCCAAAATGTACATCACCAAAAAGGCAGCCTGGAAGTCAGCGACACAGCCAGCGCATCTATATTGAAACTTCCTGACGTTCAATATCTTGGAAAAGAATTCAATATAATTTGTTGACGAGAGCAAGGGAGGATGGTGGCAGGAAGAGAGAACGACGCACGTGCTTACCCCACTAGCAGTCCTGATGGGCTTGGCCTTCAGCTTCGGTACGAGCACCTTGCGGAACTGCGGCGGAACGGCAGCGATGATGTCAACCAACCGTGGCTGCGCCGAAAGCCCGTACTTGGCCGACGTCTTGGTTTTCAGCCTGAAAGCAGGAACACCTCAGATGAACAACTCCAACCCGGCTTGCGTGCCCGTGCTGCCCGGCATGGGAACTGTGTTCAGTTCCAGGCAGGTTCTCCCAATTTGCTTTTCCACATAATTTATCTAAAAAACGCAAAGTAATTCCTTGCAGCAGCTGCACTGCGTATCAAGACACCAAAACTAAACTCCAACATATATGCAACAACTGCCAATGTTTTTAGTTTCATTTTTCTTCTAAATATGGTTTTGTTAAAACATTGTGAAAGCTGCCAACAGGCTGCAGCTTACTCGTTTTCAGGGATTTAATTCTTTACATGTCTCCTGTGCGATTAACACACGGACTCTAGCTGGGTTCATTTCTAAGATGTTCATGTCAGTTATTTCCAGTATCAGCTAAAAGTTTGCAGCTTTATCACATAATTGAAATGCCAACAGTGGGACAAATTCAGGTTTTGCTATTCCTTGGAAAGAAGGAAAAGCTTTCTCTAAACAACTTCCTTTACAACATTTCAATAAGAAAATCTGATTTAAACTTTATCCCTATACTAATCTTCCCTGGGACTGACTTTCAGACAATGAAGGATGAAGACGGGTGAAAGAGCAAAAAAAGAATGGCAAGAGTCTTATAGTTTTTCACCAATACAACCTGTTTTGTACTCCGAGCATTTTAAAATAAAGCCTGAATGTAACAGACTGTAGAGGAAACACTCACAGCTGGCGGACCAGCTCCTCAGCATCATCCCAGAGTGACTTACTTGTTCAGATTCACATCTTTTCCCTGCTCGTGAGCCTCAATTAACTGTTTTATGATGTCGGCGATCGTCATCATCATCAGCTCCGCATGGCTGAGGTCTCCTGATAGAAAACAAAACAACAAAACCTGTGTAGAGCCAGTGCTTTCCAACTGCTTGTACCAACCCAGGCGCACCCGCTCTGCAGGTCATTTTTAATCCTTCCGACAACTGCTGCCTGCAGGGGGGATTTCACCGCCTCGTTATCACTCTTGATTTGCAGCATTCCCCAAAGAAATGCCAGTCACAGCCTTGTACTGCTCATTTGCTTTTACTTCTAGGAGAAACACAAAACTGGGAGGTGTGACTGACACACCAGAAGGCTGTGCTGCCATCCAGCGTGACCTGGACAGGCTGGCAGAGAGAAACCTTACAAAATTCACCACGGGCACATGTGGGATCCTGTACCTGGGGAGGAATAATCAGGACAGGTTGGGGGCTGCTTTGCAGCAGCTCTGAGGAAAAAGATCTGGGAGTCCTGGTGGACAACAGGCTGATCATGAGGCAGGAATGTGTCCTCACAGTCAAGAAGGCCAATGACATCCTGGGGGGCACCAAGAAAAGCGTGGCCAGTAGGTTGAGGGAGGTCATGTTCCCCCTCTGCTCTGTCCTGGTGAGGCCACATCTGGAGTCTGGGCCCAGTTCTGGGCTCCCTGGTTCAAGAAGGACAGGGAACTGCTGGAGAGGGGACAGCAAAGGGCTACAAAGATGTTTGGGGGACCAGAACACTGCTCTTAAGAAGAAAGGCTGAGGGACTTTTTAGTCTGGAGAAGACTGAGGGGGCATCTTACCAAATTATAAACAGATAAATTATAAAAACATAAATTATAAATATTATAAATACTTGATGGGCAGGTGTCAGGAGGACAGGGCCAGCCTCTTTTCAGTGGTGCCCAGTGAGAGGACAAGACACAACAGGCACAAACTTGAACACAGGAAGTTCCATCCAAACATGAGGAGGAACTTCTTTACTTTGGGGGTGACGGAGCCCTGGAACAGGCTGCCCAGAGAGGTGGCGAAGTGTCTGTCTCTGGAGACTTTCAAAACCCACTCTGAGGCCATCCTGTGCAACCTGCTCTGGGGGATCCTGCTCTGGCAGGAGGGTTGGACTAGATGATCTCCAGAAGTTGCTTCCAACCTTGACCATTCTGTGATTCTTACCTCAGAGCAATCTGCACAACAGCTAGAAATAAATGTTGAGTTGTTGTTAAGAAGCGTTTTATGTCACCTCATGCAGCTCTGCCTACACCAGCAAGTGTTGCGACAGTAAAACGGACACAGCAAACTTGTCAGAAAACTCACCAGCAAGGACATAGGTGGGCACACAACTGCTCCAACAAGCTTGTTTTCACACCAGCTGTGCTTAAATCTGGCAGCATCTACACCCACCTGGGAGAAGCACCACAGCAATGCTCCCATCTGGTCTCTCTGCAGGTAGTTTTGCGGGACAGACCAGGCCCTGCTGGCCCTGTACTGCCCCAGAGTCATCTTTGCTGCCCCATATCCTTCGCCTCGGTTTGTTACTCTCTACCATGAGGGAAAAAACCAGCAACATCCCGACTGCCCTGGTCCCAGCACCCCATTCTGTGCCTGACACTCAGGACAGGAGCAAGACAAACTCCCAGGCACCCGCATGGGTACAAAAGACTCTGCCTCCCAGTGACAGCACCCAGATCGACAGTGGGGAGAGAAAACAGGTGGCTCAAAGAGGGATGCCACGTCCTTCCAACCCTCAAGCAAGGTCCGAGCCACCCTTTCACTCCCCTCCAAAAAAACAGAGCGTGGGGAGAGCAAGGTCTTGTCCCATTTTCCCACTCTACATAGAGTGCTCAGGGAGGTGGTAAAGCCCTGCCACCCCACAGCTCTCATTCCCACAGGGAATGTAATCCCATCTCATCCAGACCCAGTACAATCTCCACCCCTTATTCCATGCTGTTTGTATCATGCTCAGGTCCCACATGAGACTGTTTTGCCCAGGACAGCAACTGCTGAGTGATCTCGCTGTCTTTATCTCGACTCACAAGCCCTGCACTATATTTTCTCTCTCCTGTCTAGCTGAGAAGAGGGAGTGGTAGCACAGCTGTGATGGCCACCTGGCCTCCAGCCAGGGTCAAACCACTACAGAAAGCATGAGGAGCCCCATCTCACAGCCCCTGAGATTCCCAGACACGGGGGAAAGCATTGCACCCCTTACACACGCACAAGGCTGGGCGAGGCAGCAAAGCTTGAGCACTGTGTTCAGTTTGGGGTGCCGCAGTTTAAGAAGGACTTTGAGGGGCTGGAGCGTGTCCCGAGAAGGGC